GTTTTTATTTTAAAGAAAATTCAGATTGAACATGGTAAAAAACTGTAAATTATAGTGTCCGTCCAAAAGATATTTTCTACTTAAAGTGAAAACTAACCTTGGATGATGGGTTAGTAGACTAAAAGCTTTAGGAATCCAAAGTACAACATATAATAAGTACCCTGTATCAAGATTGATGCAAAACAAGTGATATTTGACCTTTTTAGACAGATTTAGCAAAAAAACCCTCTTCTGGGGCCATTTGGGTGGATTTTCCTTATCTCTGGCCCCCCTTGTTCGATTTTGATATCTCTTTCTGACCGTTAGAGCCAATAGAATCAAAGGGGAATCTCCCCACACACACCATGGATGTATAATAAGAACTGGATACAGCGTGGGAGGCGGGGCCTCATTCATTCCTACAGCACCGCACGTTCATGACAGCATGGTAATGATTTGTTATTATGATGGATTTGATATTAACCAGGCGGCAGTTAGCAGCTAGCTAGTAATTAAGCTAATGTACACATCAATCGTTATGTACTTATATTACGCTGTAACAGGATCTAGTGATATCCAACAGAGCTTCATTTAGCATGAAAGAATGATTGCACTGTAGGATATATATATATATATATACTTATAATAATAAGTAATATTAACTTTATTTAATACAACATTTACGGTACAAGATTTAATCATACAGCCCATGTAGTATGATAATGAATTACAGCAAACATGTGCAATATATCCATTATTACAGCTCCGTGGGATGGCAGTAAGACGATATGGGTCCGTTCTTATTGTGCATCCATGGGTAAAGATAAACGCAACTCACATTGGTTTCTCAAACAGCATCTCTGTAAACTACGTGTATTGTATTCACTGAATGTCACTCTCTGCCTTTAACGGCTCGTTGTAGCTCCAATAGCTCCAGCCCCCACCCTCCCTGTGAGCACAGTGTCCTCTGATTGGTCGGGACACGTAACATGAACGTGCCGGGCGGCGCGGTCCCGTGGGTTAGATGCGCGTTCATAATGCAGAGGGAAATAACTCTCAGAATAACGTTATTAGCACATTATTGCAACTTGAGGAACGAATGTTTTTAATAAGGGCTATACAAGTGTTCATACTGGGTAGTTTAAAAAAAATTATCCAACGATTTACAGACCATTCTTTCCCCATGTAAGTCAATGGGAAAAAGTGTTTCCGGGCCTGGCAACCAAACGGAAGTGTAGTACCGCCGTTTGGCCAGCACGAATATTTTCATCTGAGTCCGGCGCACTTCCTGGGGGCTTGACACACACACGTTAAAAAAAAAATGGCGTCTTCGTGCAAGCAGTTTTGCTCCATAGTGAGGCTGTCTCTAGGTCTGACATCTCAAAACCGAAAAACAGATTTATTGCTCATGGATTATCAGAAATCATTTCAAAGGGACACAGACACATTGGATTAACCTATGGATTAACTTCAGCAGCGTTTTTATCGTTGTAATGCCATTGAAGACCACTTTTGACCAGACTACCACACAGGTGAGCCATTTTGCCGTTTTTGGCTAACTAGCTCCATATATTTTGATGTGTATTCTTGTTATTATCTCCGAGAGTTCGTATCATTGAGTGATAATTAGGGTACCCATCGATTCTGTGTCCCCTCACGATGTGAAACGATGGGTTGGATGTGCAGCAAAGATAAATAATAAGGTTTTGTGAGTGAATTTTGGTGCAGTCATCTGTTAGCATTTTTTTGCTCGTTGCTAATTCAGAGGCTCAGCGTTAGCATTGTGGGGTTTTTAAAAAATAAATTAAAAAAAAGATCAGTTAGATGAGTTTCTTTCCGTTACATGGATATAAAACATTCATAGTTTATTAAATGAACATGCCCTCAGACCATACTTGCCAACCCTCCCGATTTTCGCGGGAGACTCCCGATTTCATTGCCCTCTCCCGGTTTCCTCCCGGGGTCATATTTCTCCCGATTTCTGACAAAATGAGATTTATTCAGGACTGTTTCCACTTAATACAGCTACACCATTGTTTGGTTTCCATGGTAGCGCGTCTCTTTAGTAGCGTGCGCGACTGAAAGTCTGAGAGGGTGAGGCAGATAGTCACAGAAAACAGAACAAGAATCGACAACTCTACCCTCTGCTCACTCCTTTCCTGAAAAATACAGGTCCAGCCCACACACATGCTCCATCAAGGATGGTGCTACAGGCTGCAAGACAGTGCACTTACAACTACAATAAGCATGTGTAGATGTTAATCTAATACAGCTCCGGTGATCCACTAACGGCCATATCTATACAAAACATGTCTATGAAGTGTTTTACTCAAAATACCAAACAGATCACCCATTGTAGCATGCCTCATACCCCTCTATTTCAGACCTGTTACTAAAGTGCTGAGTCTGTGTCAGGCCCTTTAAATGTAACCGACCCTTTGGAGCTGCTGCTGGCCATGCCCCTTTGGAGCGTCCGCATGCAAGCAGGGAGCTCTGTGAAGAGAAGGCTGTCTACCAGCAGAAACTCAGCTAAATTCTGCCGTGATTAAACACCATATATGTTCCAAACCACATAAAGCATTATTTCTGAAACAGTATGGAGCTCAAATGCTTTCTCTCTCGCAGGTTTACCACAAGGTGAGTTCCTTTTATATCCTGCTTTTTTACACATATTCTCGCTAGTACAGCGTTACCTCTGAGTGTTAGTGATGCTTTCTAATGTAAACACAGACCATATTACTTTCAAAACACGTTGCACATTGTTTCTGATACAGCACATAGCTTGACATGTTCTTTATTCAGTGTTTACCACTAGAACAGTGCCATTATATGTATTATATATATATAACAACTTTATAGTCCCTCTCGTAGACATGTCACAAACGAGCTGAGGACCAAAATGCACAACACGGGAAACCAGGGATAGTCGGTAACCAGCTTTATTGAAGGCAATAGGCTGGTAGGAGACAAAACGGCAAATAGTAGGCAAAGGGCTGGTCGGGGACAGGCGGGGGGTTCCAGGAGAAAGCAGGACGGGAGTCGCAGGTACAGAACGGGTCAGGGAGCAGGAGAGGCAGGCTGGTCAGGGACAGGCAGGGTCGAAACCGGGAGAGCAATCTGGAGGGTAATGCGGGAAAGACTGGCATGCTGCAAAGTACGATCTGACACTGAGGTGAAAGTGAAGTGGGCCTAAATACTAATGGAGCTGATGGGGGTAACAGAGTGAGAGAGAGAGACAGGGTGTGACTACCAGGTGACTAAGGAATGTTAATGCAGAAAATAGGTGAGTAAGAAAGCAGACTGTGACAGCTGAGTACACAGACACACAGCTGAGGGAGGGGATTCAGCTAGCGACTGTATATGGGGACGATAGGTTGGGGTGGGACGTTGCCAGGAGTTAACAGTAAAGCCAGCCCACATTTTAGTAACGTCGTCATGACCGAAGTAAATCTGGATCAGCTCCGTTGTACCCCCGTTTTTAGAGATGTGGGTAAGGAGGAAAAGAGAGAGGGTTGTATTTTCTGACACTTTGTGAGTCTCCTTACACACCGAGGACAATTATTTATGTATGAAAGACGTCAAAAAGTGCATTTTGCATAATAGGTGACCCCTCAAGAAGAACACTCAAACTAACTTTTGGTGCAGCTGAGGTTGTGATATTAGCCTCCGCATGTGAGGCTAATATCAGAACCTCAGCTGCACTAAAAGGGTTAATCAATGAAAATCAGAGGAAAATACATGTCTCCTCATTACGAATCAATCCATAACAAACCATACATGTTTTGAACTATTAGGATGAAAACACTAATATTAGCCAAGTTCTTACTGCACCTTATGTTTCAGCAATTGTCAACATTGTCTTCCAGCCTATTAATTGAAATAAGTAATCAATTAATCAATGTAATCCGGGAACACTGTTTTGTGTACCCAGATTACTTTGACAAATGAATGAAAATATGTGGTCGTAATAAAGTCCTGCAGTGGCAACGTCTTTTTAAGCCAAAGATTAGCATGAACTAATCTTGAGGACTGTCTGGGCCCTTCAGTTGGACTGCAGAAAGCACCATGTTAAAACACGATTCTTAGCATATATATATTTTTTTATTCCCCATATAATTACTCCAAATACATCTCATTCTATTGAGACTTGTTGATTGATTAGCTGTCCCGGTGTGCAACTGCATCATTAACATGCAGTGCAAAACAATTGCTTGAGCATCTTCTTATCAGGTCGGATATATCACTGGCTGATTGTGTGTGGCTGCTGAGCCAAACCACACGGCATTTCATCTGGAGTCAGACTATACTGCCAGGAAACTAGGGATCAGCTTTAGATCATTTTTCTAATTTCTTATTTCATTCACTGAATTGTAATTAATTGGCTGACGGGGCAAATTCGCAATCTCTGTTATCTTCAAACCTACAGCAGCATGCCTTCAGTTGTATTTGTCCTCCAACATTTGAAAGTCCTTAAAAATAACACATTTTAACACCCCAATTGTAACAGTGATACTCCATCAAAAGACTATTAACCCCTGATCAGTGAATTATACATATTCAAACTGATTTTGACTTTGTATAATAATAATTTAACTATTTTTAAAACAATATGGGGATAAAATCTCTTTTACAATGGCGATCTGGCCAAAAAGGCTTAAAATAGGACAGAGACTGAGCCTATGGTGTCTATGTTTCTTTCAAGTCTGTGGGCCAGGACTCTCTGGGGAAAAATACATGTTTAATCTCAATGAGACCTATCCTGGTAAAATAAAGGTACAATAAAAAATATATATAATGCTCCCTGTATGGTTTGCAAACTTTTAGAATTACACACACGAGAGTCCAGCCTAACATGACATACTTGATGAGCTCGGTCTTCTCTACCTGCCATCCTCACATCTAACAAGCCTACAGTATGTGGAGGCTGCAGTGTTCTTTCTGGTCTATTAGTTGGTGGAAGCAAAATGAAAAAACAAGAACCATTAAAAGGAATGAATAAGATTGAATAAGACAGAACTCACCGTAGAGCATGCTGCTTTATTTTCCTGCTGGACAACTATTTCCAAAAGTTTGAAGGAGCTTCATCCATTCAACTTTCATAGATATCCTGCAAAAAGAAGAGCATTACAACATTACGATCAAACATCCATCCAAAGGGAGAGCAGTTTTTCCCCTAGGAACTCGATTCAAGTCACCTCCTCTGCCTAACACCAAAAACCTCAGAGAGAGAGAGACCTCAGAGAGAGAGAGAGAAACCTCAGAGAGAGAGAAGAGGGTGGGAAGATGGCGCCTGTGTCGGCTCGCCGCTCCCTGAGCTTAGGGTTAGCTATCCTGTTTTTGTTTTATGTTTGTCAGAATGTCTCTGCTCTGCTCATCTATGATCGTCAAGCTCTCCTCCAACTCAGACCCTCATTGGAGTTGATACTGCTGCCCAAACTCACATCTGACAACCATACATCGTCGTCGTCGTCCCCCCCCCCTCTACTGTGGGATGTTCCCTCCTACCTGCGCCGGCTGCCTCACCGAAAGCGCTTTAGACGCCGGGGAAAGCGTGCTGGTGCACTGGTCTCTTCACGCCTCGGATATCATGGCCCTCCCGCTGCACGCCATGTGAGGGATCGATGGATTCGCCGTATTCTTCCGGAGCTGCGGCCTCGCTGCCAGCCCCTCCTGCCCGACTGACTGCTCCCGGCCCGCGCGGTGTCCAACACGCAAATCTTCGTCATCTGAGACGTGCTACTCCTTCTGCCAGCCCTGAGCGACCACTTAGCATGGCTTTACTAAATGCTAGGTCGATAGCAAACAAAACGTTCCTGCTAAATGACTTCTTCACCTCTCGTGAACTGGATTTTATGTTTCTGACGGAGACCTGGGTCCACGCTGGCGAGTATACATCGTTCTCTGAACTTCTTCCTCCCGACTGTACATTATTCAGCTCCCCCCGTGCCACCGGCCATGGTGGGGGCATAGCATCAGTGTTTAGAGCTAGCCTACAATGCCGATTGCTTCACCATGTATCTAGCTACGCTAGCTTTGAGTTGCAGCTTTTTGAACTGAACCCGGTCTCACCTATACTCTGCGCAGTCGTGTATCGTCCGCCAAAAACCAATAAGGATTTCATAAATGACTTTTCTGACTTTCTGTCCGGGATCATGGTGAAATATGATCGTATTTTGATTTGCGGAGACTTCAATGTTCATGTGTGTTGCCAGTCAAAACCTCTGGTTAGGGACTTTTGTCCGTCAGTCCGACTGACGGACAACTTCTCACTTCAAAAAAGAAGAAGAAATCTAGACCGCAAAAATAATTAAACAAGCGAGTACCTGTTTTTCCTAGCCAAGGACAGGTTCCTTGAACACAACACGAGCGTAACGTGTCTTCACGTGGTATATGTCTCGTCTGAAAGGAGTGCTGACAGAGAGCACCGGAACGCCGCTCCAGCCCTTCAAATGTTGCAATACCCATAAGGAGCCGTACACATGCCGCAGTGTTTGCGTGGCTGTGTCTTTAGTTGTAAGCACAGTGGCGATCTGTTGTTATTAGCATCTGGTTAGCTAGCTATGCTAACGAATTTAAAGAGCTTTTCTACAACCATGTGGAAGAGAGCTCTCTCCTGAGAGGCTCAAATAACCTCAGCTCAGTGAGGTTAAGGCACACCTTGATATGATAATTATAGTTATTAATGAGACTAAATGAAAAACAGGTATAAAATACTATATGACAGTAACAAAAAAGTTGTTAAAAATAACAAGAATAGAGTTTAAAAGGGGAGTGATTTGTAAAATATCCAAAAAGAAAAATATGCTTACAGTTCTGTTTCAGATGGATGTTGAGAGATGTATCCATAGATCTCTTAATGTTGCTCTCAAAGTGCACCAGATTGATGCTTTTAACTTCAATATTTAAAAACAAATCTTCCCGGGGGAGCATGCCCCCGGACCCCCCTAGAGGAGGTGAGGTCCCCCCCCACTTAAATCATGTTCACATGGATAGGATACATTTGCACACATCTTGTGTCCATATCTTTCTGTTTTGGTGGTCATGCCACAACCGTGCACATGCATGCATGCGCGAGTCATGGTGAGATATCTGGATTAAGAGGTTGCTTTTTCTTTGCACAGCATGAAAGAAAGGCGAAATGAATGGGCTGTGATTTTAGTTTTTTTAAGCAGAGGTTGAGTTCAATAATTTGTACGACCCTCGGAGGATGTTGTAAAAATTGAAAGGAAAAAGGTTATAGCACAGGCCTTTGTCAGATGGTATAACGCTGTTTTTTTCTGCTTCGAATAGTTCTCTCTTTTTTCACCATACCTGTGTTTGCATCACTGTAACCAATGAGCACCTGCATGTGTATGAGAATGGCCCTGACACCATTTCAGCCCAGATTTAAACTCCTGGCAGGACAAGCTCGAGCTCAATTCTCGCACTGAATTTAAACAAAGTGAGTGAGGTACTCTAATATAAGAGAGAAAGTAAGAGAAACTTTGAAACTGTTCAATTGTTATGATGTGTAAAGACTGATATTGTTATGAAGCTTAGCGCAAGTTCAAGAAGGAAGACCATACCCCCTGGTGTTACACGTCACTGCAAGCTCTTCTCCCATTAAGTAATCAGGGGCGGTACTCCCCAGCTAGCAATCATTGCACCTGCTAAACCCTTTAAATCTGCTCTTCCCTCTCTGTCAGTTGTCATTTCAGGTGTCAACGCACAAGTGTACGCGTCACGGTGTTCATGGTTAAGCCAAGCAGCAGCAGGGCTTTGTCCCAGCTGAGGGCTTCGTTCCAGCTCCAGGCATTTATTCATCAGCTCCGCAGTATCGCGGATTAAGCTACAGGCGGCGTTCCCCAGTCGGGTAGCGGGTCAGCCGGCCGTCCCGCAAGCCCGGACGCGGGAGGAAAAGACAAGGAAATCGGGCTCCATGGAAGTTCCTCCGGCCTAATGGGAATGGCTACTTCACGCAAACAACTGACGTACGCTTCAGTCTCTTGAGAAGGCATCACTGGCATCAGGGCCGCCTAATGCGGCGCTTCCGGCTTCACGCGGAATGGGTCCTCATCACATGCGGAGTTTTACCCATTCTGGCTTCAACTACAACCCCTCCTGCAGGCAGGCAGGGCTTAAGCTATCCCATTGAAGCTATTCCTCCTGCGCTCACTTCAACAGGCGTCAGGGTAACGTTGGCAAAGGCAGTTGCAACAAATTCACGAGATGTTTCGTATATTGTTAGGACATTTGGGTCATGCAGAGTGAGATCGCTACCCCTTAAGAGAGGGGTGTGGCGTGTGCATGGGCATGGTATAAGCGAGCGGGATACATGTTTTCTAGAAATAAACGAGGCAGCAGAAAAAAGGAAGGTCTGTGATCTTGCGAAATCTATCTTGCGAAACAGGAGAGCTAAATAATGCAACGACCTCCCAAGAAGAGCTCGCCTCTCTCCAGTCTTTCTGATAAAATGAGTTATTGAACCAGAAGCGTGTTGCTTCTGCCCTGGGAGAGGACAGAGAGTCACCCCCCCCCCCCCGTTTCCTCGACTACGGTCTGGGAGCCGACAGGAAGTTCAACACTATGCATTGCTACCTCTAGTCAGGGTTAAGGTGAGCTTCAGGCAGTGTTGGGGGGTAACGTGCTACAGTATGGAGTTTCAGTAACGTATTACTTGCATTATTAATGCAGTCGGGTAATTACTCATTACAATGCTCAGTAACTAAACGCAGGTTCAAGCTTCAACACAGCGTTTCCTGAAATGAATGGCGTTTCGTAGGGCTTCTTTTCCTCAATGAACAAGTCGCTGCACATTATCCTGTTTATGACCAGATACTAAATAAATTAGGAATTCACTCCCAATATTAATTTAATGATTATTGACTAAATGATCGGTTTTCTCTTTTTCTTCTCCACTAAGAATATTCCGTTTCTTGGTGCACCAACGGCTAGATCTGCGACAACAACATCTCCTTGGCAGCAAGGCAAGTTTATTTATATAGCACTTTCAATACAAGGCAATTCAAATTGCTTTAAAAAATGAAAGACATTAAGAAATGGCATTTAAAATCAGTCATTTAAAAGGAAGCTAATAAAATAAACATTAAAAGAAAAAGTACATGGATCAAAGTACAGTGCAGTCTAAGATATGAATAGTTCAATTAAAAGCAGCGACAAAAGAAAAGTCTTCAGCCTGGATGTAAAAGTAGTCAGAGTTGCAGCGACTAAGGGTGCAACAACTAATCGACTAATCGATCAAATCGATTACCAAATTAGTTGCAACTAATTCAGTCGTCGATTCATTGTGACGTCAGCAGTGTGTTTACGTGCGTAAGCTCCAACGTTATTGGTCTTTTTATCAGTACCGGAGACATTTATAAATATATGTCATGTTTATTGCCACAAAAAAAAAACATTATATCGCAGTCTAGTGTCACAACTCGTTCTAATATGCAAAGGACAAACAAATGCGCCTATGATGTATTTTCGATCAGATGAGATCTCTCTCCCCCATCGCGAGGGGGCGGGGCAGTTTACACACACAGCTGCTACATGCAGCGGAGCACACTGCGGAGGTGGCGGAGAGAACGCGCTCCGAGGCGTGGTTAACTTCACCCGCTTCGATGTGGAGAATGCTCGTTGCCAAAGTGCAATAAGAGTTTATCATGTAAGGGCGTAACACGAGCACTTTGTCTAAACATTTAGCAAAAGTGCTCCACATCCAGACGGAGGAATGCACCGGGTTCCACTGTCTTTCTAGCAGCTCCGTAGCTCCATTCACGAGTAACGTTCCCACGTCAGATGTTATGTATGCTAGCAGCAACACACGGAGTTAACTACATTATACAAACTCGGTTAATGATTAGAGGTAACTGAGTATTTATTAGTTTCAATTTCAGCTTTTCTGTTTACAGCCTGTCGACAGATTACTTAATACAATTCGGTAAATGCTCAGGGCAATCTCGATGACAAGGTCAATGTTCCCCCCTTTCTACGCACGGAGATAATGTAATCTAATAGCGTGCAGGCCAAGGCTGGCTCTTCAAAGCAGATATTACGACGCGCTTTAATGTTCCCATCATCGTTCAGCGGAACTCTTTCAGCCTTAAGTCAAGTAGGAGAAAC